ATTGGCTTAGATCTTAAAGACATCATTTTTCTACTAACAAGCTATAAACTGTCATTTCTTGGGGAGTAGCGGGCAAGAAACACTAACCCCTGCTCTTGGCCACGTACTCCATTTAGGAGCTGTAGTTGCGTGCTACAACAGTAGCGTCGAATGACTTTTCCTGCAAGCTCTATTGAAAAAGACATAATCAAACCGTACAAAAAGCACAGCGATGGTCAACTGCAGTGGGAGAAGTGATCTTATGTAACGGGCATTGGATTTTTCATTTTGTATGGTATCAAGACAGTTTTAAGACATTCGCACTGGCAGGGGAAGAGCGACCCTGGGTAGCCCAGCCTGGCCTGATGGAAACTTGGTGCCGAAGGTGGGAGGGACACGGTGTGGAGACAAATGGGCTGCTGCACTGTGAACCATCTCACTTGCGGTCTTAGCCCGACCCGTAGCTTCTGTTTCGTTGCAGTTTTTGTGGATTTTGCTGGTTTAGTTGCTAACAAAAGTGGATGTCTCTGTCATGCACCCTTTGCGGTATAAAAATGCTCCTCCAACCTTGCATTGAGAATAGAACTTCCCGATGGCCAAAGTCACTTGAAGCCATTCTGCTAACCCTTCCTCAGTCTATGGATTTTAAAATGTAGGTCAAACAAGATTATTTCTGGGAATCTTCAGGCAAATAGTACAGAAGGAAACGAAAGCAGTTCTTTGTGTAGTGGGGTTGATGGAAACTTTGCTTGAGTCGTCAACAAGTCCAATGGGAAATGCATAGTGTAGGACAGCCCCGAGTAACCCACAACTGAAGGAGTGAATAGAGCATATACATCATATGTATTCCTATGTGAGGTCACGAATTTATAACAAAACGGCTGCTTTTTCTTCTTGGATAAGCAGGAGCAGACAGAGAATTTAAAGATTAAACAATACATCTTCTCAACCAGAAAAAAAATTATATATATTTACTAAATAGTGAGTAAAATTTTCCCCTTGGCTAGTCTAGGGCAATTTTACAAGCTTCAACAATGCTGAATGGATGTTATTGAGAAGTGAATTTGGCTCATTCTTTTTATGCTTTTAATAAATACCCAAGGGAAAGGCAGTTGTTCAAGGAAAATGAAATACAAATAAACATAGAATTTATTCTCAGTAGGCATTCTGGGGAACTTGGAGCTTGAGTTTTATGCCACGGGTTTTTTCCTGTTACTTGCAAGCAAAACTAAAATATTCATATAAGCTGTCAGTTCTCTAAAGTGAATTCATCCTTTTTAAAAAATAAAACAAAATATAGATTCAGTAGATAGAACAGAAACAATGTGAAACATAACAAATGACATTTCTGCTCAAAAGTACATCATTGTAATGGACCATATTATTCTGGACTGTGGATACAAATGATTTTTTTTTTCCCCACAGCAACCTGTAACAATTCTTGAGACACAATCATGCACAAAACATCATTTGCAATTATCGCAGTTTGCCATTTTCGTCTGCTCCATGCTTATTTCTCATTTGATTGATAATCCATGTACTTCAAGCTAATGAAGGTTCTTCATGCTGCCACTTAATAGGCATTACCAGTTTTTACAACCTAAATTTCAGGACAACATTGGCATTTTTTGTTTGAAGGAAAAAGAAAAAAAAATTTAGTAGCTTCACAGTGCATTTTTTCACATAGGTTCCTCAGGTGCCACAGAGAAATAGTCAGTGGAGAACGTTCATTGGTATAATGAAGAATTTAGACTATCGATTTCATTTCAGATTAATCGTTGCCCAAACTTTCAAACAGTCCTTCAAAAAAATCTGTGATTCCCCAAGTAGTGTCCTGTGGAGGGTCAGAGGCACCTTTTTCGGACCCACAATTATTTTGATTACCAATTACTTAATTTTCGGTACTGGTATTGGTAGTATTTCTGATATTGAAAAAAATTTTAGTTGCATGGTCTAATGTTGGTTTAAACAAATCATATGAAGAGACTTCTACGGTTCTAGACTGAATATCTAACTTAGATACCTTTGTCAGAAGCAATGCAGATTGATTTTAAGTCAGTATTTACTACTAGAGTATAAATCCAGACTTTATGCATCATAAAAGCAAGAACATATTGTACTGTTAGAGAATGACTGAGCTGCAAAGGTTCCACAGTACCTGAACAGAGATTGGCTCTTGAAAAACATGTATTTTATTTAATTTCTTGGAGGATATGTTGGGAAAATACCTTTCCAGGTAAGGTTCCTGTTTCATTAATACTTTGATGCACTGCTTGTTTTTCATCGGTTACAGACTTGCATGTTTGCATAAACCACCCAGAAATAGCTTCATCACCAGCATCATCACCTTGGGTTGCAGTAACCTTTGTGAAAACTTTAGAGCTCGAATGGCAGTGTGTACAGCATCAATACCTTTCAGAATTTTACAAAACTTGCTGATTAAATCTGATTTTAAGTACTACTTTCAGTCTAGAACCCTGCCTTTTTAATAATCAATTAAAACGTTGTTTCGTTGTGTTTATTCAGCATGTATAAAGCACTGCTTGACATGTATTAGACCTTACATAGCAGTACACAGCTGTAGCCCATCCAGCTTTTTCCAAATGAGTTTGCACAAGGAATAAAAGATTGCCATCTGAGCAACACTGGAGGGAGACAAAAGAAGACAAAAGGCAGTTAAGCACTACAAAAAAAGAAAAGACCCTGTTGAGATAGAAATTTCTGAGCAAATGCCTCAATTTCACAGGGAGATACTGTAGCAGGCAATGTACATTGATTTTAGCACATGAAGTACATTGCATTTGGGATTCATTAAGCTTCATTTTGTGCACTATCGTGAATGAGTATGTCAGCTACTCTCTCAAGTAATGCACAATTTCAAAGCAAGGAGGTAGAATAAACCAAAGGGAAAATATAATGTGCCCCACAAAGAGAGTAAGCCAGTTTTAAAAGGAAAACGCTTTGGTTGCTAAAAGCCATAAATCACAGTAGCAGTAATCAAAACGTAAACATTTTTGAAGGATTTTATGCTTACAGAGTTTTTAATATGACTTACAAACACCAGTAAGTTCATGCTCCTAGCTGACCGGGTGGGAATCCCACTACAAGGACAGATGCACTAATGGAGTGCAGAGCCTTATTTCTCTCATTTGGAAGAGAAAACGCAGACAACTGTCTGATACTTTTTAGTTATTCACTTTTTCACTGAATATGGGCAAGGTATTCCTGGTTTTGGTCACTGTTGGTTTTGCAACTTCTGTATTTGCAGCAGGAGGATGCTTAAGATGGTGCTATTTGCTCTCCCCTCTGGTTTTCTTTGGGAGCTACCTGCAGATCTCGCCGTGGCACTTCCCCACCTCTCCAGGCACCAGCTGCCAAATCTAGAAGCCACAGAAAGTGGTGCGTCCATGAAGTCGGATTTTTCAGGCACCCACCAAATCCAAGGCTGGGTTGAAATCTGTTTGTGAATGCGTAAGAGGTCTGGAGTACTGGGTTTCTTTGTAATTTCTTTTGGTTTGTTTTTTGTTGAGAAGCATGTAAGTCCAAGAGATTTATCCAAAAATCTGTTTAGTAGATTTTATTTAGTAATGATGATGCCAGTGGCATTGTTTGTCTTAGTCTGCTATAAATGATAGTGATTTAGAGGCAAAAGGTTCATGAAGTTTCTCTAAATTTTCCTAGAGTGATTGGTTTGCAATGCCAAATCACTAAAAGAATGGGATTGTATATGGCTGTGAGGAAAAAAAAAATAAAATCAATCTTCATTCTTCATTGCTCAGTTCTCCAGTTTTTGTGCTTTGTCTTCAGCAGATATTAGGCTGTTATTAATGAAATTAGCCTAAGCAACAGGGCTTTACTGCCAAACTTTGCTACATGCCGCATTCTGTAGCAGAGCATAACTTTATGCATCTTGCTGTTTCAGGTTGATGGCACAGGTGCTTGAGGTCTTGAGCAGAGCGAAGAGTAGAGGAAAACCGTTGACCAGTTGCTGGGAATTGTACTCCTGCACTGTACTAGTAACCTGTTAGAGGAAAACACAGGACCCTCGAATTAGCCTCTTGTGGTTTAAATACTGAATTTAACACTTTTTTTCCGAGTGATGTTTCGTCTCAGATATGTATTGGGAGTCACTGCTAACGAGGTGGTCACCGAAGAGGTGCTGCGCCGGTGAGGTGAGAGGCTTGGAGCCTGTGGCAGCCCAGCTCCTGCCGGCCCCGTGGCCGAACACGGCACTCGGCCTGATCCGAGGGAAGAATGCAGTAGATTAATGTCAGATAGCTGCTGCTTTCTGCAGGAAGTTTTCCTCTTTCTTTCCTTTCCCCAGTTTTTGATCTTTTAAAAGAGCATAGGATAAGTGACAGCAGTAGACTTAACAGTTATTAGGTTGCAAAGTAGTGGATGCGGACTACTTGGTGGTTAGCTTACATTTATACTCTGATCGCAGCTGCCGTTTGGGTCAGAAAGAGTTTTCCCTTTTGATAGATTGGCTGCATGCTAGGAAAACTTGTCTTTCCCCAGAGCATCATGTAATTATTTGGTGGCGAAGAGTTGTGCTACGTTGCTATGGACATGCGGCTCTCCACACCGAGAGCTGCTGTAATGCTGATATATATGAGTCTAATCATTCTGTCACTGAGATGTAATATCGATACGCCAGGACAACATTTCTATCAGATGGCCTATTACTTGCCTTCTTAGTTGAAGAGGGGAGGAGGACTGGGACAAGCCAAATTCGGACCATTTTTTAGCCAAACCCGTTCTTAGGGTTCCGAACAGAACCCTATCCGTTGCATTAGGGTTCGGTTCTGTGACCTTTAACATCTGCCGGAGATACCAGCACTATCTAAACGGCGGCACTTAGGAGTGCCGCCGCGCCCTGCGGGCTGGCTAAGCCCCAGGGTGGGAGATGGGCGCGCGTCTTGTTTTGTGCAGGACCCCGGTTGCTGCGGCAAAAGCCGGGCGGGC